CTAGTTTTCCTTGTGTTAGAACAGGAAAGTGTTCCCAAGAGAAAGCTGGGACCATCTCTTCATACTTCTTTCTCTCAGCAATCTCAGACTTGCACTGCCTGTTGTTCGTTTCCTGAACACAGTTGTCTCCTCATTTGTTTTGGCCTGTTTATACTTGTTTTTGGTGGGATAGCAAATCTGGTAGCAGATGAGAAGCAGACCAATCATAAGTTTTTATTTCCAAACACAGTAGGAAGTGCCATACAAATCTCTTGTGGGCATTCTTCTATTATGTAGTTAATTTTTCTATTACTGACAGAGCCTATTTTATTAAAAGTTTTATGGGTAGACTTGAATTCTTTTTAAAGCTGCATGTTGAGCATAATGAACTGTGTAGAGTGGGTGCCTTTTTGTCCCTGTTAGGTACTGATGTAATAATTCTTTATGATACTGCTAAGAGTCTTTCTGAACTATTTCACTGTGTATTTGAGGCTCCTGTATACAGTAGTCAAAACCTGGTGATGAAATGTTATGACTTACACCCACCATACCCTGGAAGTTTAGCACTGAGGCCCTAGGAGGGCTTTTTGACTCTCTACCTTCTCTGTGCATTTGACACAGGATAATGGGAGATAGGGCCCCAACACTGGGCAGAATGACATGCTGTGAGAGAATGGTTCTTTAATTATAATATTTAAAATTCTTCCAGGAGTTTAAAATACTCCTTTGTACATAATTTAACTGTTATTTAGTTCACTTGAAAAATGAAATTCTTTTTGGCAGGCTATTATAAAGTCTTCAGATTTTATACTTTTAAAAAGAATAATTGTGAGTCCTGTATTTGTAGAGAGTAAACTGTGCTGGATAGAGTATTCATATCAGGATTTTCCCATTTTTCATAAAAATTAAATCAAGTAAAAAATACACTATCTAGTTATTTTTGAAATTGTTGGAAGGTTTATTGGGAGGTGGTGAATAGGCTTAACATTTAATTATGTATCACGTGGCCAAAATTGAAAAACTCATCCTTAATGGTTGAGATCTAACAGGAATAGGTAGGTTGTTAGATGATCCAAAGTCAGACTCAACTGTGTGTGTGTGTGTGTGTGTGTGTGTGTGTGTGTGTGTGTGTTCATACACATATATACTGACAAAATTTGGTAGTTGATGATGCTGGCTTCTCAGATCAAAGAGGAAAGGATAGATTTTTAAATGTTGAAACTACTGACAAGTAATTTGTAAAGATATTTTTCTGTTCTTGCCTCACATGTGCCAAATGAAATTCCAGAGAGACTAAAGATTTACTTGTAGAAAAGAAATAATATATATGCAAAAGAGAATATGGATAAATATTTAATCTTCAGGCAGTTCTAAACACTGTGCCAAATGATACTATAAAAAGAAAGAATGATAGATCTATACAGTAAAAACAAAACCCCAGCATAAGCTGAGAAAATATAAGCCTGAAGCTGGCAAGTCATGTAATATGTGTGATTTGCTCTTCAGACTCAAGATACAAGGTTAGTTACCTATATAATCTATACAATAAGTCCTTGCTTCTTGAGGCATTCCCTTTGTATTTACCTTGTCTCCTGGTTTAGACCCCCATGAAGGTAGTAATGTCATTCTTCTTTGGTAAATTAGCAGAGAACTGGAACCTCATAAACCCACTAGTGCTGTTGCCTTTTGCTGCCACATGGTGTTGCTATTGAAGTTGGTTCTATGCAGCCCCTTGCATGTTTGTCTAAGCAGCAGTGAAGCGAAAGCTCTTTCTGATCCAGAACTTTGCACAGACTTTCCTGGGGCCACATTGAACATCGCAAAGGCTCTTAGAGTTTGCAAACTCAGAAACTCTTGTTTCCCGCACTCCAGCCACTGTACCAGGGTAATAGGATATGGAGAGGCTACTAGCATCATTCATTCATTCTTCGAACAAATATTTACTGAGTGCCTACTCTGTGCCCCCAGATACTGTTCTGTGCACTTGAAGTAATGATAGTGAACAAAACAAAAAATTCTTGCCATAATGGGGCTTATATTCATTCTGGGCGCCGAGGAGAGGGAGAGGTCATGGCAGAGACATGAAACATGAGATTAAATATTTTTGGCAGGCTATTTGAGGCTGTGAAACATCTAAATAAGGGCCTGTACATGAAATCCTGACCTCTTTTAATTATAATCTTCTACGTGGGGCATCAGTGTGAATAACACCAGTGAGTATAGCAAAGAAGAGGCTGAGAGTACTTGATGGATTTAAAACTAGTTTTCCAGTAACTTCTCACTAGCATGTGTAAGCACTTTGTGGCCTCTCTGTATAATTGTACATCATGCAACTAATAAAAATATTGGTATAGATGTATATTTATGAACATGGGTAGATGTTTATAAGTGGAAATGAAGGTTAGGAAATTATACATTTAGTATGATCACAATATTGTGGGAAATACTTTCTGTCTACCCCTGAGGTTTCCTTCTTGAAAATGGAGTTCTATTAGTGTCACCCTGAGTCTGCCGTGTTCTTTATCATCTTTGGTGTTATTACTTACCTGATTGGTAAATGTGAGAGTAGTTGGGCCTGCAGATGCCCTTTGTGTAAGAGATAGCCTTTCCCAAGCCTTTGAGTGACTTCTCATCCACTTCTGTGGAGTAAGTTGTGCTGGGGCTCCCCTCTGCACGGAGAGGTCTGCCCGTCTACTTCTAAGGCATGTCCAGCTTTGGGGCTCACCATGAGCAAGCCTGTTCATGCAGTGCACTAAAGCTTCTCGGTAATAACTGATATTTAACACCTGGTTTTATTTATCAACTTGTTCATAACTTTGGCAGGGAAGGGGTTATCAGTTTTGGGGTGCTTTCTTTGGAAACACCTATGGTCCTATTTTATTTAGTTTTACATATATATTACTATTGTTTCAATACATAGAAAAATGCCTGGAAAGATATGCATCATGGTTTTAAAAGAGGTTGGTAGAATTAGGAGGGGTTTTCTTTTTCTCATCTGTACTTTTGAATTCACTGAATTTATTAGATACGTGATTAAGAAATAGTCAAGCATTTTTAAACCTCTGAAATTATACAGCCTGGTCTTTCCCACGTAGAAGTTACTCATGTTTGTACAAGGGAAAAAATTGGACCTGAGTAGGTTAAGTTTGGTGCTTAAGTCTAAAACTTATCGTAGACAAAAATATGTTACTCTTCTAAGATCTCTGGCTTGTTATTTTATCACCTATGGCAAAATAATTGCTTTCTATCCATAAAAATAGTTAGGCAATTTGCATTTTTTAAAAATTGAGTTCCAGCATTTAACTGAGGTTAACTGGATTCTGTATTTCTCTTTCCTACTTGCAAAGTATAGCTGTTTGCTAAGGCTGTTTGTTGGCTTCTTTTATTATTCCTTGCTTTTAAATAAGGAACTGCTCTAGATGGTTGCCACTCTTCTCTGCTTATCATTGTGATAAGTCTGTATGTATGTAGTATTCAAGTTTGGCTGTATTTTAAATTATAGAATATATTAAAAGGAGAAAAGACATAAAGAAAATGGTTCTAAAGTAAATTTTTATGTCTTCACCCTTCTGTATTAGCAGGGGAAAAATATCTCTTGATATTGAAATTATAAAAGTTAATGTAAAAATGCAACATAAATCAATCATTTTGATTATGCTTTTTAAAAGTTTACTTTTCAGTTTTTATTTTGATCATGAAATATTTCAGACAAAAAAGCATGCTGAAAATAAAGAATTTCTGAATACTCACTGTACAACGTCATTAACAAATTTTTATGAATACAGTTAGGCCTCTGTATGCCACATTTTGAGCCCTCCTTCACCTCCAGTTTGATGTTTATCATTCTATATACATTAATCTGTATGTATCTCTAAAGAATATAGTGTATTTTTGAATGTTTTAAAACTTTATGTGAAACATACACTTATTGCTGTCAAGAATGTTAAAGGGTATGGTGCTTTGAAAAATTGTCAGTTCCTAGCGTAATTAAACAGAATTAACCCAAGACCCAGCAGTTCTAGGTGTATACTAAAGAGATATGAAAACATATGTCCACACAAACGTAGCAGCACTGCATTGTTCCTATTAGCCAAAAGTTAAAAGAAAAAAAACCCAATGTTCATCAGCTGATGAATGGATAAATAAAATGGGGTGTATTTATGCAATGGAATATTATTCAGTAATAAAAAGAAATGAAGTACTGAAACATGTTTCAGAGTGGATGAACCTAAAAGAAGCCAGTCACAAAAGACATGTATATTGAATGGTTCTATTTGTATGAAGAGTCTAGAATAGGTTATAGAGACAGAAAGTAGATTAGTGGTAGTTTAGGATGGAGAGAATGGGCTGTGGCCACTAGTGGGTATGAATTGTTTTCTAGGGTGATGAAAACGTAAAATTAGTGTTGATAGTTGCACAACTCTGTGAATATACTAAAAACACTGAATTGTTCACTGTAAACAGGTGAATTGTATTGGGGTATGAATTATATCTCAATAAAGCTGTTAAAAAGTTCATGTGAGTGTTATATTTTCAATTAGCTATTGTAACGCAATATAAGCCAAAACAAATCATCATATTTTGAGATTTATGTATTTTTGTGCATGTAGTTTATTTCTGTTTACCCCATTTTCACATTCCATTTTATGAATTTATTATTTTATTACGAATTTATGTATTTTATTAATCTTCATTTGCTCTTAAAAACAATGCTTCAGTGAACAGTTTAATCTATATTTCTTAATATGATGACACATTTTTAAGGCTTTCTTCTAAATTAGAATTTGACAGGATTATTGATAATTTGTAATTTATTTAGTACTATTTGACTGTTTAGAAGACATTTATTGGTGTACTTAGAACATTTAATTCATTTAATTATACATTCAAATTTGAAATTAGTAAAAGTATCTTCTGAATTTTTTTCATAGTTACTTTATAGGTGGCAAAAGAACTGTCTTTCTTGATATTTGAGTGTTACATAAGATGTCCTAATTTTTGTGTATGCTAATATTTTATAGAAAAAGCCACAAATGAGTACAACACTGCGGAAGATTGGAGTCTTATTATGGACATATGTGACAAAGTTGGAAGTACTCCTAATGGGTAAGATGCCCAATTAGGCCCAGTGAATGTTTAGGAGCTTAATAACTTTGTAAGGATAGTAGGATTTTATTATTTACTTTTGGGAGCTAAACGTAAAGAGCTCCTGGTGCAGCCATTAATTTATAGGACTAACCTTTCCCTGAAAGAACAAATGGAAAAGAATTCAACTGAAAAACTGAGCTATATATATTCAAATACATAATTTAAAGTCTTGACACAATAGTTATACATATTAACAATGAATAGGTGAGTTAATTAGGGAATTCCCCTGTGACTTAGACATGTATAGGAGCCTTTTGATATTGAAGTAAGTCTAATAATATAATAGATAATATACTGAAAACGTCTTTCAGTAATAAGTAAATGTAGTTACATCACAATGAAAAAAGTGATTATGAAGGAAGGGTGCTCTCTTGGAGGAGAATGTGGATTATATTTGAGATATGTGGGAGACTGGTGAAAGCATTTTTTTCCGTTACAGCCTTTCAGAGTACATTGATGCATGTTTGTACTTATACCTTTTAAAACTATATATGTCCTGTGGGGTTTTTTTTTTTTTTTTTTTTTTTCAAGAAAAGAATTTGCTGTCTGAAAATTGAGTCGGTCTTGAGGAAATGAAAAGATAATTTATATGCTGTATAGTTCTCATGTTGACTGACTTTTTTGAAATGATTTGACTCTTAATTTTGGAATATGCAACCTTTGCAACAAGCTATTTCTTTCTTTTTTTAACATTCTACAAGTCTGAGTGAAAGATTGTGTAAAACTATTTTATAGATTTGTTTCTGTATCAAAGTGAAGTTTTTAGGATTTTTTAAATTTAAGGTTATTTGGTATTAGAAGACCTTATATTTTTAATATTTGAATTGAAATTCTGAATAAATACTTAATCTTCTTCATTTTTTTCTTAGAGCAAAAGATTGCCTAAAAGCCATAATGAAAAGGGTAAATCATAAGGTTCCTCATGTTGCTCTGCAGGCATTAACTGTAAGTAAAGTAAAAATTTTATTATTTGACCCAATTTTAAATGTTTATTTATTTCAGTAAGTTAAGTAAGATAATATCTCAACATTTGTATATTGATTTTTATTTTAATTAATAGCTTCTTGGGGCTTGTGTGGCAAACTGTGGAAAGATATTTCATTTAGAAGTATGTTCCCGTGATTTTGCAACAGAAGTACGTGCTGTGATAAAAAATAAGGTAAATTTTAAACAGAGAAGAAATTTAAGTCATTAAAAAAATACACATACTGTATATAATTTTAACTATATAGAGCATTAATAAAATTGTATTATAAATGAAATCATTTTTAGATAAATTTGAAATGAAATAAACTTCCTGTTCTAAAATTTGAGGTTTTCATTTGTAGCACCAAAAACTATTTTCCTCCCCAAAGCATATGTTGTAATGACAATAGCTAACCTTTATTGACAGTAAGCAGTCACTGCTTTAAGCGTTTTACATATACTATCTTATTTAATGTTCTTAATAATCCTTGTCATTTCTGTTGATTATGTAGAAACTGAGGCTTGGATTAAGTAACTTGTCCAGGGTCATGCACCTAGTAATTGGCATAGCTGACAATCATCCAAGTTTCTGTGACTTCAGAGTCCAAACTAACCACCAATTTGTACTGATTCCTATTAGAGACGGTGAGCAAAGGGGGCCTTTATTTCAGCAGGGTGGAGTGGGTCTTCATGGTAGGGTGGTTGTTACTGATTTCTGTGGAACAGCACTATTCTCATGCTGTCAGCCGCATGAGAATTTTAGTTTAGTTGATTTAAAAAGCTTAATCTAAAATTCAAAGTACTAAAACATCAAATAGCTCTGAATAGAAAGTATTTTTTGTCATTGTAGTAAGACTTAGAAATTGATGTTTAAAAAGGGTAATTTTGGAAGCAACAACCAAATCTTAAAATATAAATAGGTGTTTACCAAGTTCTCATTTAGACTAGGGACTGCTGGACTTTGTTGCTATTCATATAATTAAAGAGAATTTTTTTTTGTGGTAATTCTCTTTGTTAAATAATTGAAGTACTTAGTTTAACCACAGGGTTTTTTTTTTCTTTGCCTTTTCTTAAAAGGCTCATCCTAAAGTATGTGAAAAACTGAAATCCTTAATGGTGGAGTGGTCAGAAGAATTTCAAAAGGACCCTCAGTTTAGTCTAATATCTGCAACTGTCAAGTCTATGAAAGAAGAAGGAATTACTTTTCCACCAGCAGGTTCTCAGGTAAGAGATTCATTCAGACCTGTGGTTGACGCTATACTATTTTGAAGGTATGTATCTTATGTAAAAGCTGGGCAACATCAGTCGTAATCAGTTACCCACCTCCACTCCCCAAGTGCCTGCCTAGTATATTCTAATTGTTGAGTGAGTTTCTTCTACATGTCAGAACTCTGAGAAGTGAATCAGCTGTTAATAATCTGTTTAATGTTACTCTAAGTCTGGAATCTGTAAAAGGTGTAGATGTATGATAGAGCCCTTATGTTCAAGAAGGGTAGCTATATACATGTGAAAAATAACTAAATTATAAATGACAAATACAGATGAGGGGGTACCTTGACTAGATGCCAGGAGAGAGGGTAACTCTGGACTGGAATGATGAAGAAGTAAAGAGGTAGAATTATTAGACTGGAATGTGTTTTGATTGGTTGACAAGAGTGAAGAGGTCATACCAGGGGAGGAATGACATGAACATATTCATGGAATTGAGGAAGTTCAAGACTGTTTTGTTCTAGAGTGAATATGCCTGGAGTGAATGGTTAACATATAAGATGGGTGGCATTACAAGACCAGAAATTTATCTGTAGAGAGAGGGAGTAGCTTTAGTAGGACAGGGTTGGAGGCTGGGATAGTGAGTCATAAAGTGGACTATTTATTTAGGTCTGTGGGAGAAAAACACTTTATCTTCTGTTTTGCTCTCAGTGCCTCTTGCCTTCCAATTGATATTAGGATGTGGGCTAGGGAAAGAGACTAAGAGGAGCACTAAATATTTTTTTAAATTTTAGACTGTAGATTAGAGAGACAAAAAGCATATCTTTATAATTGACCAGGCCAAAGAGTTCAAGATAGAATTTTGGGACAAAAGTCTTATAAGTAATAAAAAGCAACCGTTTTCTGGCTCTGTCCTTTCCGCACATTATTCTAAAAAATATTTGTTAAAGAAGTCGTTGATGGTTCACAATCCTGGAACCTTTTGTCATCCATGCCTTTAAATGTAAGCATGACCTTCCTTTCTCCTCCGCATGCCTGAAAGCCACCACCATTCGAACACATAAGTAGTAAGAGAGAGCCTAGCATGTATTCCTAGAAGCACACCTGTGTCTCTCCCCTCCGCCTCTTCTCTTCAGTAATCATCACGGCCTCTCCCTGCCCCTTCTGTAGCTCTGCACTTGTAGCGGTCTAGCATCTCTCACTGCGTAAGAGACTTTGGACAGTTGATATCAGGAAGTACAATCAGGAAAGATTTGTATTTAAGTACTTTTTCTATGCCAAGTTCTCTGTCAAATACTAAGATTCGTACAAAATGTAAACCAGTTCATGCCCTTTGTGAGTTTATAATGTTTTGAAAATTTCTCATGTTTTATTTTAGTATTTGAAAGCAGCTACTTAAAATTTAATCATAAAGGACTTCACTTTCAAATGAAACTGATTAGTTATATCAGTTTATTTTAATTAGCATGTTGGAGTAATTACAGAGCTTGTGTTTTCTTTGAAAGGGTAGTTGTGTTCATTTTACTCATACATTTATAGACTGTCTTAGCTGCTGCCAAAAACGGTACGTCATCGAACAAAAACAAAGAAGATGAAGACATAGCTAAAGGTAAATGATCAAGATGTATAATGTTTAGTAAAACATTCTTGTCAGATACTTTTTTGAAATAAAATTATGCTAGCATGGTATACTTTTATTACCTCAAATCTAAAAACTAATGGGGTCTGAAAAGTAAGGAAAACAATTGACATGATATAAGATTAATTTGTTATCTTTGTCAATATTATGTATTTAATGTCCTACCTTTGGAGGGATTACATTTCACCTTTTCTTTAATGCCAAAGTTATGAGTCAAGCACAGAAATATGTTCATGGCTTGTCCTATATAGAAAGCAACCCATATTATAATGTCACAATCTGTTTGCTATAAAAATAATAGCTGCTGTATATGACAGTCTGTGATAATAAGGAATGAGCAAAAACTTTATTTTAAAAATCCGAACTCTCTCTTGGTTGGGAGTGGGGAGGAAATAAGTATGTGCTGAGCTCTATCCTAGGCGCTATATTGATTTACAAATCCTGTAATGAATCCCTTGTAATAACTAAGGTAGAATAAAAGAGCTGTTCGATACATGTGTAAATAGAATCATGTACTTCTTAAAAATAGGAATGGTAAATTCTCGTGAAAGTGTTTGTGTGAGAGGTATCATTTTATCTCTGCTCTAAGGGCACAAACTATTTGCTAGGTGGAGGAGGAGGTGTGGCAAGGATTGAGCAACGGCAGGAAGGCAGGGAAACAGGTGCCGCCATAGATGTGCAGCATAGTCAGTTCTCAGGAGCAGCTGCAGTAATGGAAAGAGAAGCAAGGCCAAGATGCTGATCTGAAATGTGTAGAATTTGCTAATCAGTACAGACAGCCACCTACCTGTGTTGAACATCTGTATCAGAGAGAATTATTGAAATTGCTGTATGTGTGCGCCATTATGAAAACATGAATTTGGTGAATGTGTTCATAAATTTTCATTTATTGTGAATATTTTAAATGCAGGTTATCAGATTCAAGGTAAAAATACTAAGCAAACCACCCTGTGGTATTTGAAACCACAGCCATAACAAGTGGTTGCTTTTTTGTTAAAAACAATACATGTAGGGGACACTGTAAGAAACCTTGAAGAAATTATATGTGTATCGTGGGGTTATAACATGAATAATGAAGATACTAAAAACGTTAAAAAGGCATGAATTTCTGCCCTGCCTCTTTCTCTCCCAAAGAAAGTTAACTATTTAGCATTTAATTGGGCAAATAAAATATTTCCTTGATGTATTTTTAGGAAATACAGCTTTCTAATATTTCTTTATAAACTTAAAAAAAATCAGAATTAATTCTGGATGTCCTTTTTCCGGTATTTTCATTTTTCAAACTAGCTATTGAATTATCGCTGCAAGAACAGAAGCAACAGCACACGGAAACCAAGTCCTTATATCCACCTGCAGAGATTCAGTTAAACAATAAAGCTGCAAGAAAAGTGAGAGCCTTATATGATTTTGAAGCCGTTGAGGACAATGAACTCACCTTTAAACATGGTGAAATTATTATTGTTTTGGATGACAGGTATGTTTTAAGTCTTTGTTTCTGAAATAGTTTGAAATTATTAAGTATACTATCCTTATTTAGAATCCCAGATACCCAGTTCCTTGATTTTGGTGTATCTAAATCATAACAGAACCTTTTCGTACCTTAATAATTTCTTTCTAAAATGAAAGATTAAGTAATGTGAGTTTCTTATTCTTCTGTTAAATTTAGTAAAGTATTCTTTATATCTTGGATAAAAGATGTATTAAATATTGTTGATTATCACAATTGGGAGACATAAATATTCAGTCATCAGAATGCATTTACAGTGGGAATTGTGTATACTGTAATTCCTGGCAAAAAAAACCTTAGGAAGAAATATATTACCTTTGATCAAAGCAACCAGAAGCTATGCTGTGCTCCTCCACAATTCTTACTCGGGTGCTGTACTCTCCCTCACAATTTCTCTATCATTTGAAGTTGTAATAAAAGTAGATTTATCTACTTAGGCCTAATTCTATTATTGACTTTTTACAAGAAGTTAATGAAATTTAGCAAGAGTGATACCTAACATCTTTTTGCTATGAACAGAGATTGCAAACGTATTGAGTATCTATTATAAGTTAGGCTACATCGCGTATTTTTAAGTGGATATACAAAATGATTTTACACTGCTGCAGTAAATACTTTCTAATATTTGTATGTAGTAAATATTTATTTATATTGATAATGTTTTGTAATAAGCTCTGTTTATAATAAAAAATGAATGACCACTCAGTTCTGTCATCATAAAACCTATAATACAGTGAAGGAGTTAGAATCGTTCTACAGGTAATTGTATGGAATCCAGTTGTGAATGTCATAAAGGAAACATTGAGCTCCGGAAGAGAGTGGGTTAGACCCTGATGCAAACATCTGGGAAATACGGCTTATCCACAGAGTCTTTTGAGATGAACGTTGAGTGATTTTGATAGAACAGGAAAAATTTTGCAAGAAATTAAGAATAGGAAAAAGAAGGCCTTTTAGGAAATCAAGATAATAGCACTTAGAAAATAATCTTTTCTTTTTTCTTTTTCTTTTTTAAATAATCATTTGGAATGAAGGCCATGATCCCTGAGTAGATATTAAGGTGAAGAGGTAGTGTGGGCTCTGAACCCTGACAGTCTACAATATCAGGCTTCTGTGAGTGATTTTAGTTAGAATATTTACAAAAGAACTTAGGTTTATATTTCTAATACTCTTATACAACTATAAAATTGAAGACATTTATAAAATAAATTGAAACAAAAGTATAAAATGAGTAGTTTTTGCTGTAAGATTCAAATTTCGAACATTACTTTCATGTAATAAGAACATTTCCTAAAGCAGATTTCAGAAAATTTTCTGAAGTTGCTCTTCAAAAGGTGAATATTGCTGATTAGCAGCACGGGTACTACTGTCTTCAGCAGGTCTGTACTATGTGCTGCATAATTCAATTCTCCTCTGACTTTTTCTTTCTAACTGATGTAAATCCTTCATACATACTGCATCCTTTATGTCATTTGGTGTTTGTTTGGTGTTATATACCTATTATAGTCTGCAGGTGTGCAGTGAGTTTATTAGGGTTATGTTACTGTGCTGCTTGTGTTTTTCACGATACCTGATGAAAGCAATTCATTAAATAACAGATTCACATCAGACTGTTTTCAGTTGAGACTTAACACTGCAAAAGAGAACTTATTTCTTTGTAACTGCTAAGAGAATTCAACATGAATATAATGGAATATGTAGATTGATGATGAGATGCCCCAGTCTTAAATCACTATAGACATACTCATCAACATGTTCATGTTAAATGTGGTCATTTTGAATGGACTGGTTATCACTGGCAAGATTTTAAACACAAATGCAAACTTGGATACTAATGTTAAATGGAAGTAGTAAGTTAAAGTGAGGTCATCTAGGTGATCCAGAATATGAGTATATTTATAGATTGTTTTTCTGTTGCTGTGGAAATGAACACAAAATTTCACAAAATGGAAATTTCACAAAATGAAAAATTTCACATGTAGAACTTGAAGTTCCTTGAAAACACATCGTTCTTGGAATTCAGTTTAAGAAATACTGAGCTGATAGAAAAGGCACACATTTCTTATTAACTGAGTATACCAAAAAAGTTTTTCACATTTTTACCTTTATCTCACCAGTTCTCGTTTGTTCTATATAATACCATTTCAAATAATTAAGTAGGGTTCTTGCAGTTCCGAAAATGCCATGTTGTGATTAGACCTATGTGGTTGTGCATTTGGTTCTCTTAGCCTAGGAAGCCTTGTCAAAAGAGGCAAACACATTTAGAAAAGAAAATAAACTTTACTCTCAAGGATGATTTGTAAAGGAGTCCAGGCTTTAAGAAGGATTGGCTCCCCAAATTAAAAAATAAAACAGGTATTTTAAGTAACAGACCCCCATAAGATTACCAACATTTCCAGGTTTACTGTTTGTATGTTGTGGTAGAAATAGCATTTTTCTCAAATGATTGTCATATCAATAATGGACATCACTTATCTTTAGCCATTGTCATTGCAAAAAAAAAGTCAACAAAGCCATTGTTTTAGTGAAGAAGTCAGTAACTTAAAAGAGAGGCTCAGGTTTTCATTTATTTTGAGACCTAAAATGAGATAGGATAACATAAATAATAGCATTTTTCACACTGTATTGTAACCAATTCTTTACATATGTCTCCCCTGCTAAATGAGTTATTCTGAAGAGGGTCAGCACCTCCCTGGGTGGGAAGAAGAGGGAAGGAGAAAATAAACCCCACAGGGCGAAGCCAGGTAATGTTAGTTACCTGTTTTTGGTTGGTAGCAAAGGGTTGAAAAATACTGCACTAGATGTTAGATTTCTTGAGGGCAGAAACTAGATCTTAATTATCTCTGTCACTCAGTGCTCAGCCTGATGTCACTGTCCTCTCCTTGGTAGGCTTTTACAAATGTTAGCCGAATAATCAGTTTGTTAAAGGGAAAGTTTATGTCTCTTATACGTAAATCATTTTTCACTCAGCTGTGATTTATCCTTTCTTAATATGAGAAGCTCTAAATAAAAATGCTGTATTTAAAATTCTTATTAATTATCAAATGGTTTATATAAAATTACAGTGCTGGATTACCTTAATTTAGGAATTTAAAATTGAACAATGTTGATTGCCATTAATATTCCATAGAATCCATGGGTTATCAGTGGATAGAATACTGAGCTGTTAGGGCTGGGAAGGAATTGTCATGCTTTGATGTGGCATGTAGTTGTTTTGTCTATTTTTATGCCTTATCAAAGAGTTTGTAGTAGTGGTTGGGAGGGAAATTACCCCACATTGGTAGAAGCACTAAGGAAGGTTACACATAAAATGTTGATAGATTGAAGTAAAATCCATGCATCCATTTCACACATGTAGGTTCTCTGGTTTTATATAAAAATTCCTCTAAGTTCAGTTTTCCTTTTTAAAATGGGAAGTTCAACCTAAAGCATGTGTGTAAGAGAGAAAGTTTTTTCATCCTATATAGACATTAGCAGGTAATTTATCTTAGCACTGTCAATACATCAGTTATTTTCTGGTTTTAAAAATTTGGATGATACCCACAAAGCAAGTAACCTGATTAAAAAATGGGTGGATGATCTAAACAGACACTTCTCCAAAGAAAAAATTCAAATGGCCAACAGGCACATGAAAAGATGCTCCACATTGCTAATTATCAGGGAAATGCAAATTAAAACCACAATGAGGTATCACCTCACACCAGTTAGGATGGCCAACATAGAAAAGACAAGGAACAGCAAGTGCTGGCAAGAATGCAGAGAAAGGGGAACCCTCCTACACTGCTGGTGGGACTGTAAATTAGTTCAACCATTGTGGAAAGCAATATGGAGGTTCCTCAAAAAACTAAAAATAGAAATACCATCCAGTAATTCCACTTCTAGGAATTTACCCGAAGAAAACAAGATCCCTGGTTCAGAAAGACATATGCACCCCTAAGTTTATTGCAGCACTATTTACAATAGCCAAGATATGGAAGCAACCTAAGTGCCATAGATGAATGGATAAAGAAGATGTGGTACATATACACAATGGAATATTATTCAGCCAAAGAAGAAAACAAATCCTACCATTTGCAACAACATGGATGGAGCTAGAGCATATTACGCCCAGGGAAATAAGCCAGGTGGAGAAAGATAAGTACCAAATGATTTCCCTCATTTGTGGATTATAACAACGAAGCTAAGTGGAAGGAACAAAAGAGCAGCAGACTCACAGGCTCCAAGAAGGGACTAGTAGTTAAGGGAAGAGATTGAGAAGGGTTGTTGAGAGAGGGAGAAGGGGATTACAGAGCAGTATGATTAGCACACATAATCTAGGGGGTGATGGGGAAGGCAGTATAGCACAGAGAAGACAAGTAGTGACTCTATAGCATCTCACTATGCTGATGGACAGTGACTGCAATGGGGTGTGGCAGGGGACTTGATAATATGAGTGAATGTTGTAACCACAATGTTGCTCATGTGAAACCTTCATAAGATTGTATATCAATGATACCTTAATAAAAAAAAAAGAATTTGGGTGATATATATAGATAATAGCCCTTTTGCATTTTGTGGTACTTTTAAAATGAAATGCTGTTTCAGAATCAGAAGTTCCTGAAGTTTTATCTTTAAGAATGACTGCTCAAAATGTCAAATTTTTGGAAAGCAATAGACAAAATGATCATTTCCAGATTCTGTAGTTATCCATATAAGAAACCCCAAGAGAATCAATCAGTGGGCAAGCTATTAAAATTGGTAAGAGTTTATCAGGGTTGTTGGGTAAAGTTCATCATAGAAAAGTCAATGGATTCTGTAATCACTACTTAGAAAATGTGATAGAGAAAATTGTCGTTTTCAATAGTAAGAAAAATTACAAATGATCTAGGAATAAATAAGCCTAAAAAGCTATGTATGGATTTTATGAAGAAAATTATAAAATTATTTGAACTATATAAGGGAATATTTATGTAATAAGTGGAATTAAAACATCTTTATGATGAAAATTTAATATTGTAAAGATTTAGATTTTCCATATTAATGCATAGATTCAGTGCATTTACAATTATAATCCTAATGTAACTTATTTTCAGAGAACTTGACACTTTTAATTTTAATATTAATATGGAAATGTAAAGGTATACAGTAATATTGAGGGTACTTTTTCCCTAAGAAGTATCAAGGCATATTAATAAGCTGTAATATATAAATATATATACTATTGCCATAGAATGTAATCTAGAAATAAGCTCATGAACAGATAGTATCTTGCTGTTTGAAAAATAGGATATCATAAATCAGTAGAAAAATAATATACTGTTCAAAAAATCTTGCTGGGATGAATGGCTCTTTAAACAGTACAAATAAAATTTGATTCAGCTTCACACAAAATAGATAAAATTTCATTCCAAATGGATTAAATACCTAAACATGGAATAAAAAAGAAACCTGAAACTATTAAACAAGTATATAGGAGAATAGATTTAGGAGTTCAAGGATAAAGATTTCTTTTAAAAAAATGTAACTTTAGAAGAATGCTGAATTTGATTACATAGAACAAAAAACGTCATGTAATAGAAGAAACCACAAACATATATTAAAAGACAAGTGACAGTTTGAGAGAAGATATTTGCATAATTCATACAAACAGTTGCCATCCAGAATATGTAAAGAACTCCTACAGACCCATGAAGAGGAAGATGACCCAGTGAAAAAAGGAAAATGGACAGAAGACATGAACGAGCAGTTTACAGAAGAGGCAGCCTGAATGGCCAGCAAGCACATGTGGGTGCTCAGGAGGTGTAGCTAAGCACAGCAGTGAGATGTGATTTCCCTCCTGTCTGGTGTCAAGTGTTGCTTAGATTTTAACGTGTGTGAGGGAGAATGACATTCTCCATGCTGCTGAAGGAAGGAGGGTAGTGAATTGCCACAACCACTATAGGGAACATGTGGCAATATCTAAAATGGGAAATACTCATATCCTGTGGCCTACCAAGTCCATATCTGTGAATAAGCCTAGAGAATTACTGCATGTGTGTCCTAGAATCTAGTGTGATCATTACCCCAGTCTTCATAATGATGAAAGACTGGACATGTTCATCTGTATGGGGGTGGAGAAATCAAATATGCCATATTCATGTGATGGATCTTTAATTTAAAAGGGATAAACAGAAATCTGAAAGTATTAACATAAATTTTAAAAGATCTATAATTAACATCTGTATCTATAGAGTTGGCTATAGATAAATGTAAACAAAAAAAAATACACTGGCAGGAAGGCTGCATACCAGCTTTATGGTGGTGGTGTAGTAGGATAGATATGGGTTTGAAACTTGGTGTTATTGATAAAACGGTCTTCATGTTAATCTTTAGTGTTTTATTTTTTTCAAGCCTAGAATCAAATATGAAGAGTTGATATTTGGTTCTAAATTTAAGTATGTAAATATGGATGTTTTATTTGTGTTTTCCTATATCTTTTATTAAGTTTAAGAAGAACTATTTTTAAATATATTTGGATATAAACTAGTATTTTAAATAGGCCACATCTAATTTTTATTTTAATTCCTCTTGACATGAATGTACTAAAATGTGGAGGAAAAAATGACATTTTGTTCTGTGTTTTCAGTGATGCCAATTGGTGGAAAGGAGAAAACCACAGAGGAATAGGACTCTTCCCATCTAATTTTGTAACAACTAATTTAAACATAGAGTCTGAGGCAGGTAAGTTAAATCTTAGGGAAGGTTAAATCTATTCAAGTTCTTTACACTTGAATTTTATGGTTCAATTTTGAATATAAAGTAGATTGGTATATAGCTTTTGTTTTAAATCATTTATTTATAGGCAATATAGTTTAACCTACTTCTTACCAAATTAAGGGGTTAATTTATCCAGGAATAACTTACCAACTCCAGGAATTATTTCCTTACCATTTTATTTTAAATCCTTTGAGTGTTAATGTACATAGTTACATACAATGCATAAAAGAATCTGTGAATACCATGTAAATATTTAAATCAACCTAATTATTGTTTAAGAGGCATTTTCTGTCTTCAGTACAAAGAAAAATGGTTTTATTGATCACTGAATCACACTATTGAACAGGGTAGGTGGCAGGAGGGTGTTTGACAAGGAATGATCACAGGGGTTAGGAATACTCCTAAGTTCTAGACTTTACCTTACCTTGACTTGATCTTAGAGAACTCAAGACAATAACAGTCTAAACAGGACAGGAGGCTCCTGGTTCAGATCTTCTGCGCTTCACTGAGTTTTGCAGCCATAGACAGTTCCCCTTAGCTGCTGTCAGCCATGTAGAAAAAGCACCCATTTTTTACAGGGGGGATGGGTGAGAGCTGAGGGTAAAGAACAACTGATAATACTATTGATTATGATCAGAAATAAAATAGTTCAGTGGCATTTGAACACTGTCAGGTGTGCAAAGTGCATTGCTTGCACTGTTTTATTTAATCACAAGTCTGTGAGATAGGTACTTTGGTTATAAGTAAGGAAACTGAGGCTGAGGAGATACATGACTAGTAGGTGATAGAGCTAGAATTCTACAGTCAGCCAATCTGCCTTCAGAATGTATTTTTGCTGACTCACTGTAAGACATATCAATGCTAATCTTAACCAGTTCTAGAGAAGGAGCTAAAATTGGAAGTTTATCCTTTCTGTGTAGCATCATCTTGTGTGGATAGAGTGGTGTACTCAGTTAAAATGAAATTGAGGGAGATGAATACTTGTTTGAATACCAAGTAGTCTGCCACTATTTATGCTTTTTATTCCTCTAGTCTGACTAAATAGCAAAATTGGGGACACCATTTTAACTTGATAGATCATGCTCAGGGGATTCTATATAGTGATCTCCTCTTGGCATTGGATAGATTGAGCTGCGGTTTTAAAAGTAAAAAAATACTTTGGGTTTTCAATAAATATATCCTCATGTTATGCTAAACTCTGCTCCTTAAAACATTCTTGAAAGTTAGTCAAATTTTGAAATATGTGGCTAACTTTTGAGACTTCAAAATCCTTTGGTTATTTGGATCTTTATTATAATTTTATTTTATTTTATTTTATTTTTTGAGAGGGCATCTCTCATATTTATTGATCAAATGGTTGTTAACAACGATAAAATTCAGTATAGGGGGGTCAATGCTCAATGTACAATCATTAATCCATCTCAAGCCTAACTCTCGTCAGTCTCCAATCTTCTGAAGCATAACGAACAAGTTCTTACATAGTGAATAAATTCTTACATGGTGAACAGTACAAGGGCATTCATCACAGAAACTTTCGGTTTTGATCATGCATTATGACCTATAAACAATCAGGTCAAATATGAATATTCGTTTGATTTTTGTACTTGATTTATATGTTGATCCCACATTTCTCCTATTATTATTATTATTTTT